ACCGTGTGGAAGAATGGTGGATTCACCGACTCTTGGAACCTCAATGAGCATACACGAGGGATAGCCGGAAATATTTTTCATTTGGGAATCTTCAAAGGATTTTCTCGAGATTATTGATTGCATACAGCTCCAGATATTGTTGTGAAATTGGTCATAGTTGTTGTAAATAATGCCATACAATGCACTGCAAATTTGTCAATACGTAGAAAGTACTTGATGGAAGGTGTTACTACTTGACTCGCTGTTGTTGGCTACTATCTAAAACCGGCGATGATACAAGGTACTAGAGAAGATGATTAGATAGATTCTGACGATGGAAATGTGACTGACAGAAAGGCAGCAGATATATGTTGAGAAAGGAATGGCGTTCCGGTCTAGCCCCAGTCCTGCATGGACATTTGAGAATTTAATAATTGTTTCGATGTTATGGAGGCCATGCTCCTGTTTCAGGTCAGCAACACCCAAAGCCTCGTAAAGAATCGCTCAACCGACCTCGGTAACTGATTCGAGCAGGAGCTGTGCATCCTTGGTATCCTACTTCGTAAGGTAGTACCAGAAGCTATTAGTGATGTATTGAGTCAAAACGAGGAACTATATGACCTACCCATCCATTCTCCACAACGCCAACACTGGCCAAGAGATTTGCAAACTTGTTCATTTGGAATGGCTTGGTAAATTGTACACGAGGGGCACAGAATGCATTGATATGTTGAATGACCTCAGTTGGAGCAAGGTTGCTGGAGGATGGAGCTGGTTCGTTGGCGACGCTGCCAGAGCGCTTGCCAAACTTGGGGAGGGGTGAGCCAGAGCTACCGATTCCACCAGAAGAAGGTATGTTAGCAGGTTCCACATGTCGAAATTTACAGTTATCAAGTTTGCAGTGGCCATAGTTGAAGAAATAACGACAGGTGCCGTACGGTGCCTTCAACTCCACCTTGGGCTTGGTTTGCAGGGGCTTCGATTGTGCCGACGACTGTTCAGCTGGGTTGGCTGCTTGATGCAGAAAAGTGCAGTTGCTGCGTCTGCAGCCTTGAGGAGTGATGTAAAAGCGACAGATGGGCATTGTGTAGCCGGGTCGATCGAGAAAATTGCAGTTTGATGTGTTCTGATGATGTTCTTGAGGAAGGAGATATCGGTAAACTTCGAATGAGACTGGATTGGTTCCAAGTAGAGAAAACAGAGCCTGGGGTGATGAGACCAGGCAGTTGACGTCCAATTGACAGAGCCTGACTATGTGGCAATACCCAGCATCACGTGCGTCGCAATCATTCTAGAACTTTCGGTCAGAACAGGTCAGAACTATTCGATGACCCCATTGATTGGGTGGTCTTATTGCAAAACCCCTTCTGCGTATCGTCACTCCACTCACATCATCCTCTGCGCCCATCAGTGGGGAAAAGAACGCCGGTGGAAGTGGGGTATTCTCATGAATACGGAAGATTTGGACTGCTACGGGCCAGTCCCACGGAATGTGAACAAAGCATAGCGGTCGATAATTTCGACATCTTTCAAAGAGAAAGATCCAGTATATAAGCGTTTACTAGTATCTACAGGTTATATAACCATATGGAATGGATTAGCTATGTCGATTGTTGATGATATTCTGATGCAAACTTACTACCGAGCCCTAACTATCTGACAACGCTGGCCTATGTTTCTGAAACCACTGTCACGTGGTGCTATATGCGCTCTTTTCCTGATCGAAAGGAATCCTCCCTCAGAGTGGTAGCGCGACGGCAACAGCCCAGTGGCGGCTAAACATGCCCATGTCGAAAAGTGTAAAAATCAGCTGGCCACGTTACAACACAAAAACAGGTGAAATTTTCAGTAAATTCTCCATTTGTACGAAGGACCTGTACTTTGATTTCCTTATTGGAAAGCACGCTTGTTTGCCGCGTCTAGGCTATAGTCGCGGTCCGGTCCAACTTTTGGTGATCGCCACTTGGATTCAACATCGACAATGGCCACTCTGTCGCGCACCCCACAGAGCTCAAAGAAAGCAAAGATCGCACAAAGTGCATCAGAATGGACTCTGGCATCTGATGACGCGTGGGATTCCGCCTCTGATTCAGAATCAGCATACCGCTCACCATCTGCATCGCGACTCGGATATCTTATGGGCACCTCATCAGCAAAACCTATTCCAGTAACGCCTTCCACACAATCTGGAAGGAGCCCTTCGACGAGCGGAATGCGAGGACAATCGGCTGAACGCTCAAATAATGGAAGTGGAAACGTGGACAACAGCGCCAGCTCTGCCAGTTCCATCACGTTCAGCTATACGCACGTTCATGCGCCCAGTCCATCTTCATCTTATGCAAAACAAAGCAACAATGAAAAGCCCACAGGCTGGACTATGATTTCGAATTCGGGGCAAGTGAAAGGTGTCGCCGCGGAAGAAGGTCAAAAAATGGACCAAGAAATCGAAGAAGAGATGGAGCTGGAGGATTCTAGTTTCTCTGTCGGAAGTCTGGGACGAAGTCGGAGAATTCGAGAAGGCAAGGAGGCTATCAAGTATGATGTCGAAGACATTGTGAACGGTAAGAAATCGGTTTATATGAGAATGACAATTGCGTTGATGCTCATGGCCACATTGGCAGACCCTCTTCGTGCAGTACATTCGCCGTCTTTAGCGGAATATGAAGAGCGTGTGGCATCCGGTATTGGCCATCCCGAGATGCAACATCAACACGCTATGCGCGCGCAAAAGCGACAAAAGTTTGTCGACTGCTTGACAGCGGAGGATGTCAACATGACGGAACTGAGAAAATTGGCTTGGAGTGGGATACCGGAAGAGCTGAGACCTATCGCTTGGATGCTACTTCTCGTACGTAGTATACCTGGCACCCATTATCTCATGTGCTAAGTCACGTTAACATGCAGGGGTATATACCGTTATCCTCTTCGACGCGGAATACCGTACTCTTGCGCAAGCGGGAGGAATACGCGAACTTAGTGCGACTAACCTTCGCTCGCGGTATAGAAGGACTGGACCAGCAAATATGGCATCAAATTGAGATTGA